CTGGCATGTGAGTGGCCGGGGCGGGCTGAGCCGCTGCGGGTCTGGGGCCACTCCCTCCCTGTCCTCCCCACTTCTCGTCCCCTTCCCCCACATCCCTCTCCTCCTCCCCAGTGGGTCGGCCTGGCGAGGCCTGGGCCTAAAGACCCCTCTCCACACAGTCCATCGAAGGCTCCATGGTGACCCTGAGCCAAGGCCAGTGGATGGGGCTTCCTGACCTGCAGGTCAAGGACTGGCTGAAGAAGAAGCGCAGGTAGGCAGCCCGCAGTGCCCGGGGAGGGGGGGGACCCGAGGCCAGGAGCAGGGAAGGGGTGGCAGAGACCCCAAAAAGAGGAGTGGGTAGTGGGTCTGGGCTCCCCGACCCCCTGTGTCCTATGCCCTGATGGAAGACCCCCGACCTGCCTCCCGACCCGCGTCCCATGGCAGCCGGCCTCGAGGGTGCCCTCACCTCTGCCCCTCCTCACCCAGCCCAGCCTGGAACCCCAGGTCAGCGGTAGGAGAGACTCTTCCTAAATGACAGCCTTTAAAGCATCACCACCCCACAGGCTGTTTAAATGGAGAAAACAGGGAACCCCAGTCCCACCCCTCCACCAGCACTGTCCCACCTGGGGTCTCTCCCCCCATCTGGTTTCCTGCTCCATCTTGACCACCACCACCCTCCCGCCACCCTGGCGCAGCAGGGGAATCATGGAACAAACACGTCCCACGGGGTGGGGTCCGCCCTGCAGGTGGGGCTGCTTCCTCTCCCCAGGCTGCGGGGGGCATCTCCTGCCCAGCAGGCCTGGTGGCATGGACTCCACCTGCAGGTTCAGGAGGACAGTAGTGAGGTGGAGTGAGCTTCAGGCTCACCTGCAGACACGCCCTTTGGGTCCCACTTTTGAAGTCAGCCTCGTGTGGCGAGAATTCCACAGGGAGGACTCAGTGGCGCAGCGCCCCTCACAAGGAGCCCGTGGAACACTTACGGGCACAGGGCCTTGTGCTTCAGGGTCAGAGTGAAGCCCTCAACCTGCTCGCCCCTCCCTAGTCGCACTGCCACATGGCCACCAACACACGGCCTGCCACGGAGCGTTAACTCTGTCCAGTGTGCTGCCAAAGCCCCACTTAGAGCAACCTCGGACAGGTCTCCGTCACAGAGAAGAGGGCGAGAGGGAGCCACAGAAGTCAATCCCAGACTTCAAGTCTCAGGGGCAGCCAGGCGGGCTGGGCTGGCTCCGTGGCCTGGGGGGTGGTCAGTCCCTGCCACAATGGTGGCACTTAGCCATTCAGATCCAGGTTCAGATCATCCTCAGCCAGAGGTCCATGAGCTGGGTAGATGACGCCACCTAAAGCCAGGCGGCAGGTACACAAAGCCAGGGGCCACGCTTGCCTCACGGCCTCTGCTCCAGGAAAGGGGACAGACGAGGCTACAGGAACAACGAAAATGTAAAACTGCCCTGGCTCTGGTGGCCGCGGCTGTCCTCCAGAGGGGTGTGTAAGTCGCTTTTAAACTGAGACAGCCTCCCCAGGGGAGCGCCCAGCTCACCCAGCACAGGCTGCGCAGGTCCCAGCAGCCCCAGCAGAGCCCTCCCCGGAGCCCCTGCGTCCAGGGGCAACCCGCTCCTGGCCGCCAGCTGTGCAGAGCCGCCTGCCTGCCCCTGAGCTTCGAGGTGCCGGGGTCGAAGCACATTTCCAGGGAACACTATCAACCCTTGGGGTCCTGATGGAGGCCAGCGGGTTGGCTCTAGGCTCTTGGTTTATCAGGGCCCCTGTCTCCTCGGCAACCCCATGAAGCAGGTCCTGTGGCTACGGTCACTCTTGTTTCACGAGAGGACACTGAGGCACAGGTGTTTCTGGCACACTAAGCAGCAGCAGAGCCAGCACCAGGACCCAGGCAGCTGGCTCTGGAGGCCCCAGCCCCACCAGGTGCCCCTGCAGCTCCGCTTCACAGAAGGGGACACTGAGGCTTCCCGAGGCTAAACCGCCCTGCCCAGCCCTACGGGGGGGGGTGAGTGGCACAGCCGCTGCCCAGCTCCAGGGCCTGACACTACCATGCTGGTCACGCCCTGCCCACCCTGGACGGCAGTCCCTGCTCTGACACCTGCCCCCATGTCCTCCCACAGGGGTCTTCGCAACAGCCGAGCTACAGCTGGGGACATTGCCCGCTACTACAGGGACTATGTGGTCAAGAAGGGGCTGAGCCGCAACTTCATTTCTGGTGCTGTGGTCACGAATGTGCAGTGGGGGGCCCCTGAGCCTAGCGGCTCCGGGGCCCAGGGCCCGAGCCCCCTCTTCCAGGTGAGCGGCTTCCTGACCACCAAGGACCAGAGCCGGCAGCCCTTCTCGCTGTGGACTCACAACGTGGTCCTGGCCACGGGCACGTTTGACAGCCCGGCCCGGCTGGGCATCCCCGGGGAGGCCCTGCCCTTTGTGCATCACGACCTGTCAGCCCTGGAGGCGGCCACGCGGCAGGGGGTCGTGACCCCAGCCTCGGACCCGGTCCTCATCGTGGGCGCGGGGCTGTCCGCCGCCGACGCCGTGCTCTTTGCCCGCCACTACAACATCCCCGTGGTCCACGCCTTCCGGCGGCCGGTGGACGACCCTGGCCTGGTGTTCAACCAGCTGCCCAAGATGCTGTACCCCGAGTACCACAAGGTGCACCAGATGATGCGCGAGCAGTCCTTCCTGTCGCCCAGCCCCTACCAGGGCTACCGCAGCCTCCCGGAGCACCGGCCCCTGCTCTTCAAGGAGGACAGCCAGGCCGTGTTCCAGGACGCGCAGGGCGGCCAGCAGGTGTTCGGGGTCTCGCTGGTGCTGGTCCTCATCGGCTCGCACCCTGACCTCTCCTTCCTCCCTGGGGCGGGCGCTGACCTTGCCATGGACCCCGAGCAGCCGCTGAGCGCCAAGAGGAACCCCATCGACGTGGACCCCTTCACCTACCAGAGCACCCGCCAGGAGGGCCTGTACGCAGTGGGACCACTGGCCGGGGACAACTTTGTGCGGTTTGTGCAGGGCGGGGCCCTGGCGGTGGCCAGCTCCCTGCTAAGGAAGGAGACGAGGAAGCCACCCTAGTGCCACCTGAGTCCTGGCACCCAGGCCCTGAGGAGGAGGGACATCCCCACAGCCTTGCCGGCAGCAGGGCCCACTGAAGACGCAGCGCCAGGGCCTCTCCTGGCCGGAGACAGAAGGGCCGGGAGGAGCTGGCCGTACCTGCTGCCCACGTGCAGACCAAGGCCCGAGGCAGGAGCGGTGGCCACAGGCCAGAGTAGGCCTGGGCCCGGGACCTGGTGTGAGCTGGGCTCACCAGGGCCAGCTGAACACCCAGACAGGAAGAGTGCAGGTCCTGTTCCTTCCAGAGTCACAAATAAAACCAGTGTCTGCCTCCACTCCCACACCCAAGTCTCTGTGCCTGGGGGCGGGGTAACCAGGGTTGCCTATGGCTGGGGGTGGGGTGAGGCAGCTGAGCAGGCCTGCAGAGGGCAGGCACAGGGGGTGTGCTCTGGGAGGGAAGGACAGGGACCCCCTGTCACCCCTGCAGCCTGGCCACCCCTCCCCCTGTCTGTTCCAGTCACAGTTCCTTCCAGCCACTCATGCTCACCTTACTTGATTTGCTCCTGCCTACCTGCCACAGAGCCTTTGCACAGGCTCCTATCTAACCAGAGGCAACTTCCCTCCTCCTTTAAATCTCTCAGAATAAGAATCAACTTGCTCTAGGGGCTGTGGTTGTGGCTCAGCAGTGGAGCGCCCTGGGTTCAACTCCCAGCACCACATAAAAATAAAGATATTGTGTCCAACTACAACTAAAAGAGAGAGAAAAAAAAAGAATCACTTGCTCCAGTGTGGCAGTGGCACAGGTCCCTAATCCCACACCTGGGGGGCTACAGCAGAACTGCAAGTTCACCATGCTAGCTAGCCTTGGCAAGACCCTTTCTCAAGACAGAAAAAGCCAAAAGGCTGGGGATGCTGTGCAGAAGTAGGGCACCTCTGGGTTCGAGCCCAGTACCAGGCCTTAGGAAGGCTCTCTGACAGGATGGGCCTGGCCACGGTCAGGACAAACCCTGCTCTCGGCCTGAGCAGACCTTTTTCATTCTCGCTTATCTGTGGGATCCAAGAGCTGCTCCACACTTGGATGTGAGCTCCAGGCGGCCAAGCACGGGGTCTCCCTTGTCCACTACTAGAACCCAGTGCCCAGCATCCGGCCTGGCACCTAGTGGGTTCTCCCTAACTGATCCTTAGATGGGCAGAGAGACGACGCATGGACCGAACCGGGAGGAAGGCGTTTGGGGCCGAGGCTGATGGGGCGCGATGTCGCACAGGGCAGGTCTGGGGCCGCACCAGCAGCGAAGTGTGGGCGGCGCGGGGGTGCAGGGGAGCCCGGGCGCGTGGGCGCCGATTCCTGGAGTGGAGCCGGCAGAGGGCGCTCCGGGCTCGATGGACACCGCGCTCCGGCCCCTGCGGCGGCGCCACTGAGGGGGACCTTACGGGGGGCCAGCGGGACACTTTCGGGGGGCAGACTCAGGGACGCCCCGCCCGCAGCCAGGTCCCCCTCAACCCCGTGCCACAGGGCAGTCCCTCCGCGGCGGGCCGGGGCCCGGTCGTCAGGCCCCGCGCCCCGGAGGGC